TAGATACATAATATATATATATATATATATATATATATATATATATATATATATATATATATTACCTGGTGATTGGAATAATTATCAGATAGTAAAGTTAATATTTGTGCAGTCTTGGTTACCCAACCCATCATTTAACTAGAAAAAAAAGTTAAATTACATAAAAAGGGAGATTTTTGTGCAAAAACAATAGGTGTGTTTTAATTGTAATATTTAATAGCATGTGAAAAAGGATTGGGGTTGTATTTATTTATTTATTTTTGTTTAACAAAAAAGTGGAAATATTTAGATCTAATTTGAACTGTAATTATGTACAATGGTTTTGCGGCACTCTTGTATAAATTAAATGTGGGACACAGAAGAGATCCAGTGGACCAAGACACAGTGAAGATATCGTTTCCCGCACAAGATGCAAACATCTTAGAGATGATAATTAAATTCATTAACATTGCAGATAGGCAGCTACCTCAACAACTGTGTCATTATTTTAAGTAGATGTCTTGCAGTGGGACTCTGCCAAGGCTTCGGAAAACAACTCTAAAATGATGCCTTTACTGAATGAGAAGAAAGCAGATTTTATTAGTATTCTTCGTATTTTGATTTTAAGCTGTTTGAAAACCAATAAATCAATTAAAGAAAGAAAGAAATCATTCAAAATGTGCAGTGCTGTGGACGCTTCATTAACACTTTGAAATCCCCTAAAATGAGAATAATGTACATTACAACTCTAGCATACTATCCCAAAGAAACATCTATTCTATTGATGTCCTTGACCTGTTCTCATCTTTATCAATTTAAAATCATTTTCAGAGTCAGGGGAAATATGTGGAATGTGCCACCTATAAAAACCAAGACCTTATCGAATCTCTCACTTTGTTAACAGTTCAAACATGCACTTAAATGATGTTACCATAAAATCAGCACTTTTCCGTTAGATAATGTCAGCATTTATTGGGATGTGTGCAACAAACCGATGCATGTGCTCCTTTTATCAGTCTCTTGACTTTCATCTTCCTTCATCTGTGGGGTTATTCTTTATGCACATTAATGGAGGATGTGTTTGATGTCCGTTAGGCATCTCAGCTTATGATCAGCAAAATGAGTGACCTCTGCTGTGCTCAGCGAGATTGTGATGTACAATATAAGACTTTATGTAGGCTTTTACTGGAAACAAAATCTGGTCAAAATGTATTTAAAATATTTGCGAAATATATGTTCTAAATGCTGAAAATATATTTTGTTTAAACCTTCAAATCTGTCAAAATGTATTACGGTAAGATACACTTCAAATGGCAGGACAATAGATTAGATAGGTTATAATATTGTCTGTTTTGCACAGTTTTGCAAAGAAAATATTACCTATAAAACCACAGCAGTTGTGTGTCTCCGAGCAACACACAGCGGTGATTCGTTTCTGAATGAATCCACGTTTTGAATGAACTGGGTGAACCAATGATTCAATGGCCCATTCATAATGTGAGCCATTTTCCTGGAAGAATCGGAAAGTAAGTAATTAAGTAAATAAGTAAGTAAGCAAGTAAGTGATAGTTCGCCCAAAAAGAAAAATTCTGTCATCATTTACTCACCCGCATGTCGTATCACTGTATCACTTACTTACTTTTATGGAGCATAAAAGAAAATGTAACCAGAAGAAAAAGAAGAATGTTGGTAACTAAGCTGATTCCAATGATTCATTGTACGAACAAAAAAATACTGAAATGTTTCTCAAATTATGAAATTATCAATTTATGAATTATTAATAAAGCTGCCCTAATAGATGGGTAGCACATCCTGACAAGCTCAATGCGGCCATTAGGATGCGCAACCAGCTTAAACAATGAGGTCAAATTCAAGATTAAGTTGGGAAATTAATGACAACAGAATGTCAGGAGGTCAGTTTAATGCCTCATCTGAACGACGTCCTTTTCACAGTCTAAAGTCTGCGTCATTACACTAGGACTTTGCACCCATTCAAGCCAAGGAATGATCACCCCCAGCTGGCTGGACTAAAACTAGCTGAAGCAGCAAGCTACATTTTCACAAATGGTCTCCCACCAGTGTACTGACCAAGCTCTGACCTGCTTAGCTTTAGTAAGGAACTGGACTCTGCCTATTGCATGCCACAGCTGCGTTCGTAGCCTGCGCCTTAATAAAGCTGCTCTAACAGAGGAGTAGCACATCCTGACAAGCTAAATGCGGCCATCAGGATGCGCTACCAGCTTAAACAATGAGGTCAAATTCATGATTATGGTGGGGAATTAATGACAACAGAATGTCAGGAGGCCAGTTTAATGCCTCATCTGAACGACGCTCCATTTTACAGGTGCCAGTCTAACGCTTTATCAGAAGGTTGCTTTGTTTTACATTCTGAAGTCAGATTCGTTCAACTCGTAAATACGATCTATCCGACATGACTTGAACGCACCATAAAACACGGCGCTCAAGAAAAAACTTCCACTGACCTGTCTCGCGACCAAAACACTATCTGTGTGAACCCAGTAATAGTAGCAGGCAAGTTTGTTTGCGGTCCGACAAATAACTGAATGGGCTACAAAAGGTTTTTTTTGTAAAGTAAATTTTTTTTTACTTTGTGCTACGTCATCGCCCCCTTTCATTACCTCAGCCACCCCTCATCAGTGCTGTGCTGGCGCCGGCTCTGTCTACTTGATATTAGGCCTGGGCGATAAAACGGTATCGATATTTATTGACGGTACACCTTCTTCAATATCGATAGAAACATTTTTCAATGTAGTGCACGATATAGGCACGTGCTATGAGTGATGCAGACAGCACACACGAACACATGCTGAAATGAGTGCTGTGCCTGCCTGTGATGAGGAGATTGTGAATAAAGAATGAATATTAGTCAAATTTAAAATAAGCATTAGCATTTGAATGTTAGGTGTGCATCAGGGCGCGGGAGATGCGGTGATGATGTAAGTGACGTTGTTGCATTTTAATGTTTTGTTAGTCTAGCCCATGAGATGTGCCATGCGTTATTCATTCAAAATATTAGAGAAATATAGAAGCACAATGCGGAGAAGATCTTGATAAAGGTTAAAACCGAAACTAAGCCATTCACACAGAACGCATATTCAGCGCATTTTTAGATGGACAAATATAACTGCTGCACTCGCGTCTCACACAAGATTTGAAACTTTTAGAAAACA